CCCCCCCCTCCGCTCAAAGTGCCCCCCGGGGAAGGGGGGGGGGGGGGGGTCTGGGGAGGAGGAAATAAAAGGGGTGGGCCGGCGGGTTTTAGGCTGCGATGGACCGCAACTTTCCCTCTTCATCGCACGTCGTGCCTGGTTGTAGCAGCGGTCGGAAGCCTGCTGGAGGAAGGCGGGTACGGCTGCCGCCACCCACAGAAAAGGAGACACGCTTCCCACACCAGACCAGTGAGCCACCGATACTTTTAAAGCAGCTAAATGAGGAATGTGACTTAGAGATGCTGGCTGATGGCTGTACTAGTCTTTCACTGCAAGTAGGATGCTGAACAGTAACAAATCTCAGGTAGCTGAAACGATTTTGCTGTTGTAACAAAACGCCATTCTTACCCGTTCAAAGCGATTTGCACCACCAATTGCTATCACCGATTGTCAATACGCATAAAAACACAGCAAAGACTCTTTTCAAATTATTCCTGGACCTTTAACAAACCGAGAGTTTATAAAACCAAAAAAATCCCACAGGATTGCAAGTAAATCCACACCCTATTTTTAAAAAGTGAACTGAAAGCTCAGAAGAGTTTATCCTTTGACTCCGGCTCATGCATCAACTTACTAATTGACCCCCAATAAGTCACCTCAGTTTTGTCTCTGAACAGTGGCAATAATCAAAGTAGCAGCTTGCCTCACAGGAGCGTTAGCTTGGCTAATTTAGTCAGTGTTTGTACAGAACCTTGGATGTGTTACGCTAGCAGCTTTTTACCCATTTTTGGATTTGCGCATAGATTCAGCATGGCTGCACCTGAAGGTTGTTCCGGTTGGAGAGCAATGCTGATGGTGCAGTGAGGTGCTTTGCATGTCTCCACTGCAGAAGACATCGTAGCAAAGGGGCAGCGAGTGACCTTAAAATGTCATGAAAACTGTACCAAGTACCAGAAGAAAACCAGCCACGACAGCACAGAATCCTTGATAGGCCTAACTTACCCAGTTTCCCCAGTACCTTAGCCTGTATGGAATTACTCTTCAGCAGTAACTGAACTGCTTTTCACTATGGTTGCCCCCAGCCCAAGTAGCAAGCAATGCCGCAGGTTGCATCCTGCCAGTTGCCTGTCCTTGTCCCCCTTCAGCGAGCCTGTGGACTTCCCAACTGCATAAACTACAACTGTGCCACAGCGTTCATCCCCACAGGGCTTCATCTCACTCTGCTATACCCATGGAGCAAACACACCTTTTGTGAAATTCTGTTTCTTTACAAGAAGGAACAAAGTTTTTCTTCCTGGAATATAAGAAGCACCTTCAGCACTGAGCTCAGCCCCAAAACTTTGCTCAGTTCCACACAGTGGGGCTAAGTCAGGTGGTGAGCAGCTTCCTTCCTTCTCTGCTTCTGCACATTTATCTTACTACTTCTTTGTTTGAGTTTGCATCTGCTCTGTGCACACACAGTACGCAGGAAAGCCATGTTGCACAGAGAATTTACATACATTCTACATACATTTACTTACCTCTGTTTAGGATGTAGACTTGCATCTCTTACACCTACTTTAATTGATAGGTGGTAGCAAAACCTACCTGTGTCCCAAGAAGACTTTGCACAGCCTTTATTTGGCCAGGTGAACACCATTTCTTCCGCAGTTTCATACACATAGAGAACAGTGTAGCATTCTCTAGTTGCAGTGTTGCAACTATTGCAATCTAAAGCGACAGAAAAATGTTAAAGCAGATTACTTGGGAGAGCTAGTCCAGATTTTTCCTCTTATATCTCATATATTGTTTGCTTTTTCTGCTTCAGTACTATTTCTTTCGTTGAGAACTTGAAATAAAAACAGTTCTCTTGACAGAGCCCTTAGAAACCGAGCAGAGAACCTGTCAACGCCTCCTTGTGAGGCTTCATGAGAAAGTGCCTCTGCATGTTTCCCATAATGACAATGCCTTTTTTTTTTTTTTTTTAAGATGACAAAAGTCCTGATTCAGAAACATGCTTAGATCTATGCTATATTTGCTTTGTGTTAGTAGACATGTAATTCCTATTTGATAAAATACTTAGGTATGTTCTTCCATTATATGTAACAGTGACGCAGCGACCTAAGACATACTCAGATTTACACATGTGCCTACCGGTGATGCCACACTGCATTGCGAACTGAGCTGCAATTTTACTCAATTCCTTTTTGGCTTTGCATTTAGCATCCATATTTCAGCATATTTTCCTGTAACTCTACAACTGTCTATTTGTCCCAAACGCATCTTATTTTGCCCATGATTTGAACCTTACTTGGTATTTTCATTACTTCTCTTTGTCCAGTATCATCTATAATTTTGCAGCATCTCATTGTTCAGCATCATCTGTGAACATAATTATCGCGCTATGACTTTTTTTTTTTCGCTGTAACTCCCCATCTCCTCCTCTTCAGCTGAGCTTTTAAGAGCGAAGATGCACATGTGGTTAAACACTTGCAATATCAAGTATAAAATAGCAGATGTTTCAGGGGCTGAGCACATTCCTCTGCATCCTACCTCACATATTGCTCCTCCTACCTAGGTCCTTCCTCAGTGAAACTGGTTTTGGAAAGATTTTTGTCTGATTACGTCCTTTCAAGTGAAAAGAGAATGAGACTGCATCACATGAGCTGAAAAGAGAGTCCATTGCAAACATCAGACAATTGTGAAATAAAGGTGGCCAGACACCCACATTCGCCACAATGGAAAATGATGACAAACTGTGTACATTTGAAAAGCTGGGATTAACAGCAAGCATCCGCATCTCAGCATGAGTCATTTCCCAGTTATTTCTGTGCTTGATTGGATCAGCATCAAAGCTACAAAGCACTTGCCGGCTTCCAGGTGTGGCAGCAAAAGGTATTCTTCCCCTAGCATGACCAGTGAACATCACACACAGTGACATGCTCCTTTTTTGAATGAACTTCATATAAGCCATTTTAGCCAGCTGACATATGCTGAAGACTCCTGCTATGTGAACAGGAGAGGCTTTGGTCTCAGACCTATCCATCATCATTCTGACCTTAATCTTAAATTTACTTCTGTTTTTACAATTTCACAGGAGTAAATAATTTCACATGTCAACAGGACTGCACACAGTAATAGAGATAAGCATACAGGCTAGCAAGTGAAGGATGTCTTATACCCATAAATGCCTTGTATAACGCTGAGCTTTTTAACGTTTTATAAACCCTTAGTGACAGATTATGCACAAATAGAATTAAAAGGAAGAGAATTTGATACTTGCATCCAATTCCTGGAATAAGATTCGTTAGGTTTAATATGTGAAGAGTTGTTGAATTTATTGCAACAATGGATCCTGGGACACTCTTCATTTCTCCTAACTATAGCCAGCTAAACGTGTCTACTCCAATCTAAATTGAAGTCACCTAGGCTCCTTCTATGCTCAAGAGACAAATCAGCCCTCCAAAGGCTAAGTCAAGAGACAAAACAGCTTCTGGAAATGTCTCTCCTCCTCCTTAACAGCAAAGGGAGATTAGATGAATATCTCAGATAGCTAAAGCTATGACACCCACCTGTAGTCAATCTCACTGATGACTGTACATTTACAAAGTTCCCAGGGAGGAAACAAATATGACAAACAGGATTGCACAAATGTATTTATTTGCAGGGCATACCTAACATTGCTTTTTATTGTTTTCCTAATTGATTAACGTTCTACTCAATGACGCTTCCTTTAGGTCCCAACTCCATAAAAGCATTTTACTTCTCAGTCATCTCATTAAAGAGAGATGAATTGCTCACATGTTTACAGTGAAGCATATGCTTAAGTGCTTTGCTGGGTTGGAGTCTATTATTTTGCAGTTAGATACAATTTATTCCCTTCATTGCACAAATTGTTGTTACTTTTTTTTTTTTTTTCTCCTGTTTTTGCCAAGTTTGTCCATCTGTGAGCAGGATGTTGTTTTCATGATTCCCCATTTAAATTGGTACAAAACTTTATTTTTGACTGATTTCAACAACATGCTCGTTAATACATCTTTATCTTTTCTGACTTGAACCTTTTGATTGTAGCTTGTGCATTTAGAACTACATGCTGTGATAATCAAAATATAACTGTTTCTCTATGCTGGTGGCAAAAGCTTTAATGTATAATCCATTTCATTTAAATGGAAGAATTTTA